AAGTTACCCTCCTCCCTCCGGACAAAGCTCAAGGGATCTCTCTCCCACTGCAACTCTCTCGTAATCTCTGTTTCCTCTCCACCTATCCTCTCCTCTATCCATCTTCTATCCGCCTCCCCCTCTCTCCCTATTTATTTCAGAACCCCCTTCCCCTCCCCCATTTCTGATGAAGGGTCTAGGCCCGAAACGTCAGCCTTTCTGCTCCTCTGATGCTGCTCGGCCTGCTGTGCTCATCCAGCTCTACACCTTGTTGTCTCAGATTCTCCAGCATCAGCAGTTCCTACTACCTCAGCTTCAGGAATCTGCAGCTCTTGGTTTTATTTCAGCTGTTTCGAAGGCCCTGGGAAAGAGCGAAAGGGGCTGGTTTCTTTTAAAAACAAGGGTTCAGCTGTCTCCAAATCCATGGGGTAGGGGGCAATCTTTACAGGCAGGGAATTGGTTTGAGAGCCTGCACTGTAACAGGTGCTGAGGGAGCACATCCCCGGGACAGAAGTGGGGTTTGGAAAGTTTGTCATTTGGAGGGCAGGGGAGAGACTGAGGATTGGGGGGGGGGGGGGGTGGGGGGATGCCCCGGGGGGGGGGGCTACAGATGCCCTTGGGTCCTGCCCCAGCAAACGCCAGCACAGCCCTGCCTTTGTCAATATCAGGGTGAAACTGATAGCCTCCCTGTTCACTGCTCCCTCTTGAGTTAAATTTCTGTCAAAAGTTGAACATTGCGGAAGGAAGTGCGCGTCTGTGAACTTGAATGGGGACTTTGGAGATAGACTCGAGAGTCAAGGAGCTTCGAAAAACCGGTCGGGTCTCAAGTGTGCACAGCCCCTTCTCTCTCCCAACTCGCCCTGGCCTCTGGAGAGCCACACGCCAACAAATTCTGTAAAGCACCAACACACCCTGAGATGGTAAGGACTGTAAACTTTCTCGTCTGGTACTCAGCTGCTTCAGGCTGTTTGTTTTTCTTCTGGCAGAGGACAGCCACTGCTTGTTGGGAGAGAGGAAAAAGTGAACTTTATCGCCCACCCCCCGCCTTTCCCAGTTATCCCTGGATGTTGCTGGGATAGAGAGAGAGAGAGAGGTGGGAGGGAATTGGGAAAAAAAAAACTTCCTGTAACGTTTACTTTCAGTTTTAAACAATGTGGGCTCGTCACAACTTTTTTGTTCTCTCCCCCAGTTCAGGTTTAATCATTTCTTCTTCTTTCTTTAAAAAAAAGGAAACACAAAATTCAGCAACATTCCTTGATAGTGATGAGGAAGTAAAACGATCACAGAGGCTCCGACAGTGTGGAAGCAGGCCGATCGGCCGGTCGAGTGTTCCCTGACCCTCCTAACCAGAACCACCCCCCTATTTCCCCAGGCTACACGCTGCAAGGCAACTTAACCCATCCTAACCTGCTCATCCCTAGGTACTACAGCACGGCCAACCCATCCTGACCTGCCCATCCCTGGGCACTACAGCACGGCCAACCCATCCTGACCTGCCCACCCCTGGGCACTACAGCACGGCCAACCCATCCTAACCTGCCCACCCCTAGGTACTACAGCACGGCCAACCCATCCTGACCTGCACCTCCCTGGGCACTACAGCACGTCCAACCCACCCTGACCTGCACCTCCCTGGGCACTACAGCACGTCCAACCCACCCTG